CTACACTTAAATTATGTAGATTCAAGTGTGGGGACCAGTTATCAGCAGTAGGTTTACTTGATTGGACTGAGTTTGAGAGGCGAGGTAGAGCTGCATCCTTGGTCGCAATTTTGACTTGTCTTTTCCTATCATGGTGTTGTTATAGTACAGATAGTGTTATTATTGTTCAGTTTCAGACTTGTATTCTGTTGTAGAGCTCATGACTCCGTATTTACCAGTTTTTCAGAGATTGTCCTTATATTGGCTGTATTTTGTTTCATTGAGGTTTCAAATTTATGCTATTTCTATAGTTTATGTTGTTTTGGCTCTTAAATGTTAAGTTTCAACTTGACTAGCCGGTGTGTTAGGCGCCATCACGACGAGTTGGGATTTTAGGTCGTGACACGGATTTAGAAAGCACCTCTCATGAGGCCGCAACTGACAATCGCTCTTCATCGAAAGAGCCAGTGAACTCCATTACGTCTTTCCCAGGTATGCCCTCTAACACTTCTTTTTCTACCTCTGCTTCCTCTTCCTCTTTATCACCACCAACCTCCTCTCATTCTTCCATTCCTTCTTGTGTCCCTATACCAAGTCATCTCATGGTTACCCATTCCAAAAACAATACTATTAGTAAGCCAATTCAAAAATTATATCTTAGTGCCGCTCTATCTCCTAATTAAGGCCAAATCTTCCCATACTGCCCAACCTTCTTTTCCTACCGCACAACCTTCTAAATTACAAGGCACTCCCTTAAATACAAATACCAAAACCTTGCCTAAAGACAAGCCCAAGCTTAGCAGATCCTCTATTTCTTTTTATTCAATATCCAAACCTGTTGAGCCTAGGAATGTTAGCCAAGCATGAAGAGATCCTAAGTGACGTGCAACCATGAATTGGGAATTATCAGCTCTTAAAAGCCAAGGCACATGGTCTCTTGTGCCAGCTTGCCCTCTTTCTAAACCCGTCAGTTCTAAGTGGTTTTTTCGTGTTAAATACAATTCTGATAGAAGTATTAGCCGTTATAAAGCTCGACTTGTTGCTAAAGGTTTCTTGCAGCGTCCAGGAGTTGATTATGGTGAAACATATTCTCCAGTAGCAAAGCATACAACAACACATGTATTCTCGATCACTAGCTGCTTCATTTGACTGGCCACTTCGTCAATTAGATGTCAACAACACCTTCTTGCACGGGACTCTAGCTGAAGAAATTTATATGTCCCAACCTCCTGGTTTTGTCAATGAGATATATTTGGCTACACTATGGGCTTAAACAGGCTCCACAGGCTCCACGGGCATGGTATGAGGAACTCAAATCCCATCTTATTTTATACGGATTTTGCCACTCTCAGTTGGATCACTTCCAATTTATCTATCCAAAATCTGGAGTTATGCTCTATCTCATTGTCTATGTTGATGATCTTATTATCACGGGCAATCATCAAAAGTCTGTGGAGGATTTTATTCTCTGTCTTGCTAATCACTTCTCCATTAAAGATCTCGGTGATTTGCTTTTCTTTTTGGGTGTTTAAGTTATTCGCTCACGTGCTGGAATTTTCTTAAGTCAGCAGAAATACATTTATGAGATTTTGGATAAGGCCAACATGGTTAAAGCTAATCTCATGTGCACACCAATGGAAAGTTGGTCTTGTCCCATAAGTAGTGATGGTTGTTTACATGAGGATCCTAAATATTATCAGACTATAGTTGAAAGTTTACAATATCTTCACCTTACTGGACCAGATTTGCCTTTGTTGTAAGCAAATTGTCTCAGTGTACAAGCTCTCCAATGACTACACATTGGTATATGGTCAAGCGAGTTCTTCGCGATCTTGCTGACATCTGCTAAATTTAGAAAAAATTTCACTTTATATCCATTAATTCCAAACTATTTACCCTTTAATACCCAGACTCAAACTACTACTCCTATCCATGCGGCCCAAACTATTTACCCACTAATTCCAGCGATGCTTTATGCAACCAAGAACTGAGGCATTGATTTTCCCTATTCTCTCTCGCACTGGAATTTGAAATAACTTCAAGCCTTCGTGGTTTTAGCACTGCAAACAAGTTTTCAACACTAAAATACAGGGCACAATTCAAAAACTAGATCATAGGAAGAACAGATCAATTTTTGAAACTCCATATGAATGAGTTCAAAATGCCAGATATGATCTTTTGTAGTGTTTTACTGTTGAAATTCGTTAGTTATTATTATTTGATATGTATATTGTACCTTTGATGCTGGGTTTTGGAGATTTATTGTACAAAAAATTAAATCCACCATTGAAGGACCTTGAAGCTTGAAACTCATAACTTGGTTTCTTTGAGTTTTTAATTATTTTGATCCAATCCTGTATGGGTTTGTTTGGATAGTTGATTGGAGGTTGTAGCTAAAGTTTTAGTCAATTTGGTGGAGATTTTGTAGTAAATTTTAGAAATTTGGGTTGAACTATAGTTGAACCAGAGAAGAAGACGAATTTGTATTGTATACCCAAATAATATACAAATATACCATTTTAGTATAGAATTTATTCCAACTATATACCCTATTAGTATAGCTATATACTATATTGATATCATATGCTAGTCGAATCATTTTTTGGTTGTATTAGCTGCATTTAATTGGTAAAATATTTAATTTTCTTTTAATAATAGTAATATAGTACAATATCTTGAAATACCTTATTATATTAATATGTGGTACACTATTTTTTTTTATTTCTCTTTATGCATGTGTGTTATGTAATAGTAGTATAGTCATATAGTTGCCGGAAATTAACTAGTAAAATTGTATAGCATGTTGGTATAGTTATATGCCATATTGGTATCATATGGTAGTTGAACATTGTTTTGGTTGTTTTAGCTGCATTTTAAGTGAATTCTATTATGAAATTATTTATATGAACATGAGTTGCAATGCTGGAATTTTTGTGTGCCGATGGACATAAATTATGTGTATAATAGTTTTTATAGTTATAGGCAATTGTTAGAATGACCCAACTATATACCCTATTAGTATACGAAATGAGCAAGTTGTTTTGCGAATATTTAGCTTGCAATACGAGCATGTAATTTTTTCATACTTTTATTGCGTTCTTTAATTTTTTGGTACAGTAGTATAGTCGCAGATAGTTGTAGCAATATTCTAGAGAAATCATATGCTCTGTTGGTATACATATATACACCATATTGGTATCACATGGTACTAGAAATCTTTTTTTCTACTTATACTTTTGTTGCATTTTTCAATATTTTATTGTCATTTTTATTCTAACTAGTATATATGGATATTTGGTTGTCGTAGATTATGTTTTCTTGCTCTATAACTGATTGTATTAGTGCTAATGGTAGAGTGTGTACTGATATTTATGGGAATGAGATCAAGGTTTGCATGGAAATCATGTGTTGATTCTTAAAATCTGATTATTTGTAATTTATGGTGCTCAGCAACAATCAATGTGATATTCAATGAATTAGATCAAGTGACAACTGATATTATTTCAGTTTAATAATTGAATTTAAAAAATGAGAAGAAAAAAAAATAAAAGGTATATTGTACTAGTTATATTTAAAAAAGGTGGTCAAATATTTACTATATCAATTATTTTTTCTTATTGTATAAAAAAAGAGTAATAAAAAATAGTGAAAATGGTAAATGAAATTAGATTATGAAGAGAAAAAAATAAAAAAAGAAGTTAAATGAAATTAGAAAAGGGAAAAAGAAAAAAATAAGAAGAAAACAAGAAAAAAGAAAAGGAGAAAAGAAAACAAAGAAGAAAAGAAGCATAGAAGAATTGGAGAATAAAGAAAAAATTTCCCACAAACACTGTTATGGGTAGGAAATTTAATTAGTTTATGGGTAGAAAAACAAATGGGTAGACAAAGGTAAATAGTTTTATTTTTGTGGGTAACTGTGTCAAAACCCCCTAAATTTAGGGGTGACAATTTGAGCCTAAACTCATCCAACCTACTCAGAGATTAATGTGTTGGACTACAAACATTTTAGCTCATAGATCTATTTGGGCTGAGCCAAGTTAACCCACTATATTTTAGGAAAACTACCAGCTATGTCCATTTATAAGTAACTCATTACAAAAATTGGCCAATTCATAAAATATTACGAATATTAGCCTTATATTACTAATATTAGCCAATTAGCTATTTATAGCAAAAAGTATCAAATTTTTGCTTTTTTTAGTGGGTGTTATTAGAACAGATTGAGTATATCTTAAGGAGTTCGAATCTCAGTTTTGGGATGATTTGGTGAAGTTTTGAGTTGGTTTGAATTGAAAATTCGAAGTAAAACTGAACATAAAAAAATGATATGTGTATCACATATGTATCATATATGTATCAATTGTGTATCACATGTATATCTATGTATATCTGTGTGTGAGATACATGCGTGATACATGTGTCGCAAAAGAATTTTTTGAACTCGATTTAATTACGAATTTTGATACAAAACCAGTCCAAATCACCTCCAATCTTCCTCAAATTTTGTATATTGACTTATCTATATGTTTTCAATGAATTTCAACTATACCCATTGAAAAAGTTCCTATTTTGCTTAGAATTTTGGAATATTGTATTTTTTTTATTTCATCACCTTATTTGCTACCTCATCCATGAAATTTCCTTTCCGTCTTGCATCTAATATTGTTAATCACGCTTAAAAATATGGAAGGTGATTTTTGCATGTGATTCTTTAAGAGAAAAAACCTTATTTATTTGGTTTTTCAATTTTTATATGTACTTGGCTAGTTTTAGTAAGTCTATGACTAGTGGCTAGAGGTTGGTATTTGGGACACTTATGTAAGTTTTTCATTTATTTATTATTTTTGTAGATACAATTTTCACATGATTGTTACTTTGGGAGGCAATGCTACATAGTGAGTTATATTGGCGGTCATGTGAAAAGAAAAAGTCAAAAATAAACTTAATAAAATCTTATCAAAGGTTATAATTTTTCAACAAAAATTAAAGGGGTTGGTTACATCGTCAAGAAGAAATTGAATCCCAAAAGGTAAAAAGAATGAACTTCAATAAAAATATCTAAAATTATTAAACAAATTTAGGCCCCCATTGCCATTGAGCCGCCTCTGTTAAGAGTATCTAACTCTTTATAAAAAAAAAATTTGCTAGGACTTTGTTCATACACACCCAACACTTGCGCTGCAAACTTATAGTTTCTACAAGTGCTCCAAATATATGTAAGAAGTATGTTAGGGGAAATGGCAAAACACAAGGGTCTCTTTATCATTTTCTCATCAAAGAAGAGTAACTTCAATTGAAAATATGGTGAATTATGAATGTAAGAAGGTGCATGTAATAAGTGTACCTGTTTCATCAAAGCAGATGGTCATGTCAGTGTTGTGGACAATGACCCCAGCACTATCCACAATTGCTTGAGCTAGGTCTAGATCAGCTTCAGCCGCAGCACGAAGTGCATCCCAGATTTCTGTTAATAGAGGGAGAAAAGATTTCTGTTAATTTGCGAGTGGAGCATATATATATATATATATATATATATATATATATATACTTGATTCAATTGAGTGTTGCAAAATACCTTTCTTGCCACCATAGTGAGGAGCAGTGTCCCAAAACTCTTCCCTTAGCTGCATCAACTGACTTCTTGTTATTGGCTGTGGATGCTTCCATGGTTTTGGCTTTCTTATTATCTTTTTCACAATTCCTGTTATATATATATATATATGCATTTCTACATTTTAATTCAAAACTTAAGCAGAATAAACAGAGGAAATTAAATCTAGAAAAGACTGACTCTTTGGCTTGGCGTGAGACGATCCGCTACAACCCATGTTTAATATCTTTTAGCATGTAGAGTTACACACATAAACCATGCATAGTGGTTTACAATCAATTTTCCAAAAACTGCAATGAGATGTAAAAAAAATAGCAATAGGGAGTAATTTAGGGGAATGTCACGAGGTTGAAATACCATACTACGACTATGGATAATATTAAAGAGGAAAGTTCAGTTGGTAGTTGGCTCTGAATTGCTTTCTCGTGACTAGGCCCATTTATGCCCACTAGACTCATTGCTTAATGGTCAAATTTTCACCATTGAAAAAGTTGAACATAAAAGATCATATTGTAGTCACTTGTATGTCTAATTAATTAAAAGTGATGGAAACTTATATGTTTACATCAAACTAATGATACAAGACATATATTTTTGTATATACGTGTATCAAATAATTAAGTTAAAGTGATATGCATCTTCACTTTAACTTTTAAATGCTAAGCTTAATTAATTGCTTGATTTAATGCAAATATCATATTTGGTATTTACCATCAAAATTTTATCCAAGAAATAGTTGTGAGAAGCTTTACTTTGGGTGTGTAGCAGAAGGTACTAATGTATTGCATAGAAAATATATCCGTAAAATCCACTTTGTGCATTCTTCTTAAATTAAAATTAAAATAGTTTACACGATAGATATACTAGTAAAGATTACTTTATGTACATACCACCTCCTCTTATTTGCTAATTTCCTAAATGGCACAATCTGTTTTAGTGATTCACAAATAGGCATGTCATCCATCATTGTGAAAGTGAAAAAATATCACATTGGACGTGGACAGGTAGAGGAACTTTTCATTATTTGCTAGTGATTATCACGTTAAAACTGTCACTGGTTTTTAATTTTCAGTTTGGTTGAATTTTCAATAAGCTCTTTTTTTTTCTTTTTTTCTTTTTTTTTTTTGCATTACCGACATCAATAACAAGGTTTAATTCAGCAATAAAAGTGCTCTTTTCCAGTGACAATTTGACTTCTGAGTGCACTGATATTAGAGCTTTAACTTTTTATATATTGATAGTATATAAAAGAATCATGCCATCCAAAAGATACACCGCATATAACGTCAATAATAAATGGAGTTATTAACTTGGAAAATAAGTCATATAACCTGCCACGAGTTAAGATACACTGAATATAAATAAATTATGAGTGTGTGTGCATGTTAAATTTGTTGTTGTCCTACAAATTCATCAAAATGTAACCAAATGTTAATTCAAGTAGTGATAAATGAATTCAGTCAATAGTCATGTAATGTAATACACTTTCTTGTGAGTCGTTGTTTCACCTGCTGGCTTCATTAAGGGATGGGGAAGAGGGCTTTCCACAAACTGTGAGGCTGTTTAGTTGAGTATTTGATCATCAATAATATCACGGCTGTCATCTTTCAACCTCATAAATCACATGAATGTGTCATCCTTTTCCTATTACTTTCACTCTCCGGCAATACATACACCACTAATTCAAGATTCCCCCCC